TGATCCTCTCCTGAAACCTCAGTGGCTCTGGATTTGCTGTTGTGCTGTGTTTGTGCAGGATTTGGTGCAGGGTTTTGCTGAGCAGGCAGTGCAGGAATCCACTGAGCCTCTGCTTTGTGCTCTCAGAGCTCTCAGCTGATGGCCTGGGTATCAACCAGGCTGGGATTCGTTTCCAGTTTGGAATCCAAATTTGTGTTGGTGCTTGGATACCGTGGGACAAATCATTTTTGATGAAATGTATCAGAAATGTCATTAATAGCCACGTATATTGGAAAAAGTAATCAAGTTGAACTACAATACTCTTCAGGGGAGAGGATTTTTGGTGGTTGCTCACCCTCCCTGCCAGCAGAAGGTGCTTGCAGAGTTCTCTTGCAGTTCTGCCAGGAACACAGAAGCTTCCAGAACCTCTTGGAAGTCCAACAACCAAACCCCTTTTGCTTTTACCTTAAAAGCTTTTCGAGAGCTTCTCCTCGCTGCTGCTTCATCTCTTTTCTTCTGGGATCTCTTTTCTTCTCCCTGGTTTGCTCTGAACAAATGGTTCTTGATCTGAGGGGTCTGCACAGCCCTGCTTAACCTGCAGTGATGGGGAGAGCCCGAGCTCCTGCTGGTAAAAACAATGGCAGGGACAGCTCTGATTTCCAGGTGTGCCAAATGGCAGCTCCCAGAGCTGGCCCTGACCTTGTCCCACAGGAATAAATGGGATTCACTGCTGATAATGGATGGGATTGGGGGTAGGAGCTGCAAGAGAGCCCTTTACTTTTATTGCCCGGGTTGTGCCGTGGCCTTCCCTCCCCAGCATTGTTTTACTGTATTGACTGAGGAGCAAGATCATAAAAGCAGCAGTTAAGAAGGAGGATAAAGTCTTATCCTCCTTCCTGATAAGACTTTATGGCCATTAATTTTCCACTTATTTCATTTTCCCAACTCGGCTGTGTTAATTTCCTGTAGGTTTTCTTTCATTCTCCCAACAACAAAAAAAAAGGTTCTTTTAAAGTGAAAATGAGCATTGCCTTTAATTTGTGTTCATGAATTTTAAAAAGCATTGACTCAATGCTTGCAGTATTTGAGATCTGCCAAATGTATGGATTTTCCTCTATCCAAGGAATCATGGAGAAGCATTTCTTTGGGCAGAATATATTGATTGAAAATGCATTGTGATTATTTTTTTAAATTTATTTATGCTATTGCTTGGCTCAAAAGTGGGATTTGCAAAGCCTGGTACAGTTTCCCCATGAACATTTTATAAGGCCACTTAAGCCATGAAATATTATCTTTATCCTTGCCCTTGGCAAGGGCAGGGAGGGGAGGATGCAGGGGAATTCAGGAGACGTTCACATGCAGCAGGACTTGTGACTATAACTGGGCAAAGGGAGATCTCTCAAAGGCTTTATTCTGTCAAGTGACCCAGAAATGGGCAAGAGCACAGAAAGTGGATTTGTCAGAGGAAAAACTATGGGAGTAAGCTGGCAGCAAATATGGAAAAGGAGAAAAAGCTAGGATGCAAAAGTCCTGGATGCAAGAGAGTGCAGGTAATCCAAAAGGCTGTTGGTGAGTTCCAAGATGAATTTGCAGCGTTCCCAGCTCTTGGCTGCCCATTTCAGCTGTTTGTAAAAGAGATTCCCAGCTATGGCTGGGGTTTTCAAAGGAGCCTGCTCTGGGCTGTCAGTGATGTTTGGAATATTAATTCCTGCAGCAGTTAACTCCAGAACCAGTGGATTGTTTTGCTGTACAAACCCCCCTTTGCCAGGGAGCCTAAGAGGGAGAAAGGAACATCAGTGCCATGGAATATTTCATATTCCTGCCTGGCAGCCCTTGGGCTGATGAGAGGTGATGATTTTGTGCTTTGTGCTCTGAGCTGAGCACGGAAGGACCTTGGCCCAGAAGGGCTGGCATTCCTGGAGCCGAGGCTGCAGTGGAATTTGGACACTGCAGCCCAAGAGTGAACTTCTCCAAGCCCTGCCTCGTTAGTGAGGTGCCAGGCACAGCTGGGGTGAGTGC